CTTTTTCTTTCTTTTTTTTTATTGCTTAAAGTAATACAAAGGGTATTACATATGTGTCCATTTTTTCCCCCTTCCCTAGACAGTCCCCTAGCCTTCCCTATCCCCCAGTGTCTTATGCTTTGTAGTTCTGAATAACAATTGTTTATGTTCATATTGGTAATGTATCATCAAATCTGTATTTTAGATTCAACTGGAATTATATGTTAGTAAAAAATTAATATTAGAGATATAACAAAAGGTATTTCTAAAGAACCTAAGTAGCCCTATAAAGATTTACTTTTTCTCAAGAATTCTTCAGTGTCAGCATTCTTTCTGTTACTGTGAGGACTGTTTCTTTCCCTTTCTTGACACCAGTGAGTGGGTATTTCTCTGCATTATTACAGTGAGTTCCTCACAGAGGCGATGCTCTTAGCCCACAGCACGTTCTGTTCTCCCCTTTCTAACCTCAGGGCTCCCCCATTGTGGACTTTTGAATAGCTCAAACTGGAAGAACGAAGCATACTTTTCAAGGCCTCTGCCTTCAGATGCTACATACTTCCTCCCATTCTTGCCAGAAGAACTATAAATCCCACCTTCAAAATCTTTGGGAGAAGGATATTGTGTAATTTTCCTCAATAGACTCATATAATGCTAAGTAATTTATCTTTAAGAAATTCACCCTGTATTCTAGTCTACACATCTGCTTCATAAGTGCGTTTTTTAGGCTATAGATATCTTGCTGACTTTAGTTTATCGTTCACTGTGTATCCACTTGTTATCAACCTCCACTATGAGAGAGTATTGAGCCCTGGTGCCCTAACGCAGCCTTATATGTAATGGGTAAGCCTCTCTTCAATGTATCTAGAATAATGCTAGTTATGTCCGATCCGTGGAGGGATGGAAAAGTCGCTTAAATTATTTTCAGTATTCTGTAGTTTAGATGAGGAACACAGATTGAGAAAGTCTGAAAAAAAATAATAAAAATCATTTCTTAACTATCCTCATCTTCAAAATGAATCATAACAGTCCTTTTAACTTTTTCCTCCAAGGTTTTATTTGCAACAATGAAGCCAAATTTATGTCATTTTCTGAATTTTCTCCAGGTTTGCCACAACTTTAATTACAGATTCAATTATCAGATATTTAAATCCAGTGATGTTATAGCTGGTTCTAGGTATAAGGAGCTTTAATTTCAATATGCACCTATTATAATTATTTTAAAATTTTAGCTACCATGAAGCATTTTTTCTTTATTAGTCTTAACAACCTTTAAGTTTGGGAAAATCTACTTAGTCTTTATGAGACTCTGTTTCACTGTTGTTTCCAAGCCCCCTTTTCTTGTGTGTGAAAAAGCAGGTCTGAAAATGGGACCTCATTCTCTGAGGAAGAGATGTCACCCTGCCTCTGCTTGTCTATCTTTATTGCCACTGAAGTGGATGAGCCATGTCTGAGTTCCATGATCCGAGTGTCTCTGGAAAAGACCAGAGGAGTGAGGCCTGGTGTGAGCTTTCTGCCACTTCAGCAATGATCACCATGTTTAGAATGTGATCCTCTTAGAATGGTTGTGAGGCTATTTCCCTAGGTTATATTAGAGCCTATCACTTCATCGCAAAATTAAAATTACTGAGTTACTTCCCTTCAGACTGACATCTACACAGGACTTCACACAATAAAAAGTGCTCTCAATACCATGTTCTATTTAGGTTGATTACTGACTGTGAGGTTCTCTTAAAGATAAAACTTAGGCTTAAAGTACTATGATTTCCAAAATTAGCTATTTTCCTTTAAAAATAAGTACTTGGCTTGTTATTTTACCCTCAGAAACCTTTATGTATCATCTCAAAGGGTAACAAACAAAATAAGTGAAAATCTGACTTTAACAGAGGATATATTTTTAATATTAGTAATAAAAATGTATTTGTTTCTATTCCCATATGAGAAACGGTGTGCCACATTCTCTAAATTCTAGAAATTGGTTTATTTTAAATACAGATTATTTATTGTGGTAATCTTTTATCTGTAATTTTTATAGAAAAAGGAAATAGTTTCTCAGTATGAAAGTCATGCAGCACAGTAATTTACAGAACAGCAGTAATTTGCTAAATGATTTCCTAGTGAAATGAAAACATGACTATGCTTCCTCAAATGCTTCCCACCAGGCCTGCAGTAATTTCAGGCAGGTGATCAGCTGGAGCCCCTCAACTATAACTATAAAAAGAAAAGGCAGGTCATTATGTTATATTATGGAAATGAGAGCTTCATAGCATAAAATTTTTGTATTGTGAGGGTCAGGATTTCCTCTTTGGTTTTTCTTTTTTTTTTTCATCCTGACACTAATGACTTTGGGATTGGCACAAACCTAGCACTGGAGCTGTGGGTGGTTTTCCCAGCAGAGGGGATGAATTCACAGTACTGCACCCACATTTCCTTTCTAAGTCATTTAGCCCCTCCATGTGACCGTGAAACAGTGTAAAGCTAACTGACCTACCTACAAATTGAAACTATAACCTTCATCAGTTTTGTCCTATGGTCCAATCATCTGAGCTAACCAGGCAAATAACATTGGAATGAGAAACAGTTTGCTTCCAAAATTACACACTTGCCATAGGATGTCTGAGTGCATCTGTTTTATACCAAAATGTTTGTGATTTGTTAATTTATTTCTAATACTTTATTTCAGTATTTCTAATTTATGTATTCTGTTATAAACGTTATGTAAACACATAGACATATGCATATAATTTACAAATGAAAGAATTAAAGTTTTAGATATATTTCCTCTATCCTCCTCAGATCATCTACAATGTTTTATATTCTATCTATAATAATAAAAGCACAATATGCTAATTAGACCAGATGACCTTCCGGATGAAGCCGGGGCTGCAAGGGAAGCCCAGGTCCTTGGTGCCTGCTGGCGGCCAGAGGGAAGCCGGTGCCAGCAGCCGGAGGAAGGAAGGCCTACTCTTGCACGAATTTTGTGCATTGGGCCTCTAGTTTTAATAAAAATTAAAATGATACATGTTTACTATAAAGCCCCGAATGGTTTTCAAACATTCTAAAGGCTATACATTTTCAAATCTGAGTATATTGGAAATTATTAAATAATTTGAAAAAGATGTCCTTTTTGCTTTCAGCTAACAGCAGGTATAATAGGAAGTCAGGAAAACATCCCCAAACTGTTCTGTACTCTATGTAATAAAAAGGAAAATATAAGAAAAAAATATTTAGATAATATTTTGTCATGAGGTACTAATTTGAATATTAAAATATTTTATCCTCATCAATATTTTAAGATAGTCATCAATGGCGATACAAAGCGGCATGGTGATTAAAACAAATGACAGCTAATACAATTATTCATGAAATAATTATATCGGAGTTGTGACATCTAATTAATTAAGTATAGGCATCTCAATTATACTAGAAGTGAAGAAAGCTTTAAGGAAATCAAACTAGGTCCTAATTATGGTAAAAAGTTTTCAAACCTTAAGGAAAGAAATCTGTCCAATATTCACATTGAGAAAGTTAAGGATTCACTAAAAACGTAATTTTTGTTTGACTTTCCAGGTTTCTTATTCAAATATTCTAGATACTGACTTTACTTTGTTGTTTGACTTAGGTCTGAAGCCTCTAGTTCTTTGGGGCAAGTACTATGAAATAACGTGATCTAGAGAACATAGGAAGATGCCTGGCCAACAAAAGTACCCAATAAACATTTTTTTAAATAAAAAGAATGTGATTTTTAGATTAATTAAAGGAAATATGAACTAAAGAAGATCAAATAAGGATTTTTTTTTTTAACTCAGCTCTGAATTCTCTCTCCTGGTGCCATTTCTATAGAGGAAAACAGGGATATGCATCTTAGGGTGGCTCCAAACCTCAACCTCATGTGTAGTCCCACTTGAGTCATTCACACCAAAACTCAGTCATTCTCTAGGTAACTATAGCTGTGTTTATCTGTCCAGAGGTGGTGGTGTCCAGGGTGGAATATTCAGTAGACAATATGGCACAACTCTTAGTAATTTCAATTTCATCTTAAGCACATCCTTAAATCACTTAAACACTTTAATTTTTTAATTATAATGAATATTTGGTATTCATTTCATTTGAATATTAACATGCTCTTTGAAAAATCAAGAACAAATGGAAAACAGGAATCCCTTTATGGACAACCAACCAGTTTCTGTTGTTTTCCTGAAGCTATGAGAGAATATGGAGCTGAAGTGACTCTCCTTTTGTTTGCACATATTTCTTTTTAGCCCAGCATCATAGTCTACCCTCTATCGACATGTGTGCAGAAAAGGAAATGTTTTCACTCACACCCACAGCGGCCTCCACTTGCACTGTGTGACTGCTTCAGTAAGAGCCTAGAGGGACACTCAGTCAAGATCACAGTCACTGGGCACCAACTCGGCGGCACCGTTCGGCTGCCACAGGGCCCAGCCATGCACACCCGTATTGGACTGATTATTTTGATAATGATCAAGTAATTTTAAAAACTATCACTTTATATTGCTTAATTAGGGACCTTGGAAATCAAGTTTATATTTCTTCTGAGATCAGACGAGATTGGGCGCGTTCAGGGTGGTGTGGCCGTAGACAAGTTTATATTTCTTATAGGTTAAATTAATCCTATTTACTTGATATGGTAAAAATTAACCTAATTTCTTTGTTTTAAAAGTTATTATTATTTCACACAAACATGAATGTCCTGCATATTTCTGATCCAGAAATCACTTTTACAATTCAATATGCTTTAAACATCTTTTTATGTCAGTATGCATTTCATTCTCTTAACATCTTCATACTGCTTTATTGTTTGTATATATCTTAATTTACAGTGGGGCCTTGACTTACGAGTGTCCCGACTAACGAGTTTTTTGAGATACCAGCTGTCTCTCCTCTGATTTTTTGCATTGAGTTGACAGAGTAATTTGAGTTAATGAGCTCCTTAATGAGCTCCTTAACAAGCTCAGTCTCAGAACGAATTAAACTTGTAAGTCAAGGCCCCACTGTATTTAAAAGAATTAATGATGGAAGTTTATTTTAGTTTTAAACTAAAACTACTAGTAATTTAATTAGTATTTTATGTATTTGTATGATGAAGTTAAATTAACCAAACAAACTCCTAGAACTGAATTCCTGGGTATAAAATAAAAGTATGCACGTTTTAAACTTTGATAGGTTTTACATTATTGCCCTCTAGAAAGTACTCATTTACATTTTATCATGGACACATGCACACATGGTTAACACATGCATAAAACAAATCTTGACAATGCACACCAACTCTTGCCTGCCTGTTACAAAAACTTTTATGTATGTTGTGGGGTTGTGGGGGACTTTAAGTATTTTAACCAAAAAAAGTCTTGCTTACTATTTGAAAATCTCTTTACTCCTGCACTCAACATTTATTAATTCTACAGGCATTGTTAACAATCCTCTTAATGCAAGCACAGAATTGGGGACATCGGGAAGGCACATGGTAACAGAGGATTCAGCCTTGTTTGGCCAGGGTAATTACCACAAAGCCATGCCCAGCACACAATCACAGTGCAGTCTAACAAGGACAGGGGTGCCCTGCACGCACAGGCAGTACAGGTTTCCTAGGTGACTGACATGAAATCCGATGAACTCCCTTCTCTCAGAATTGCTCTCTGGTAGAAGAGTATAAATGTTTACATTTCATTTGACTGATTTGTGTTTATTGTGTTACATAAAACATGGCATCTATTATAAATTATAAATTAAATCTTAGGAATAAACCCCCTCCCCAAATCTGAAGAAATGAAATGGTCAAAATTAATATAAGGCCAAATAGCTATGACTAGAAACAAATATGAAAGGCATATTTATAAACACAGGATAGGAAAATGCCTACATGTCTCCTCTACTCTGTATATATGGATGGTTAGCATATCTTTTTTTTAAAGTTGTATGTATGTGTCTTGACTCTAGATTGAAATCATATGGCAAGAGGGTTGGGAACACCAGGTACACATGTCAGGGGCTAGAGCACCAGCCTGCCCTGGCACGCTATCAGGCCAACTGCTGGACTGCTCCTTGGCATAACTACAAGTCTCCCCTGCTGGCAGCTCATGTTCCAGGCTCCTGGCTGGGCCTTGCCATTTGCCCTGCATCATTTTGGGCAGGTAGGCAGACAGGAAGGCACAACTGGGGATAGTTGAGCAATGAGGGCTGCTGTGACCACAGCTGGTGCCAACAGCTTGTCACACAATCCACCCTTCCCCCTTCCTCCTCACTGAGCACTACAAATAAAGTTTGCAGGTATCTACAATATACACAGATTCTGATACAGTTTGTTTATTCAGTTACTAAGTTGTTGTTGTTGTTTATTTTAAAATTTAATTATCCCTGTGCTAAAGGGAAGACAAGATATTTCCATCACCCATTTTCCCCCAGGACAACAGTACACATTCTCATAGACACACTTTTAAGACACATCAAAGTGTTTCTAAATGTGGGAAAAGAATAAGTTCAGAATAAAGAGAAAATATTTACTATTAACAACAATTAACTTATTCTAAAGAGACATTTCTCAGCAAGGGAAAGGGTTCTTGAAGGTTGTGTTTAGGGAACAATGCACACACAAACACACACATATATTCTCTACTCTTTTTTTCTTGCTGGGAATATTTATTCTAAGTGAACAGACCATTTTAAAATTCAGATGATGAATAGAGAAACCCTAATGTGCACAAAATAAACAGATTCTGCTCTTTTGCTCCTTTAAGAGCCGTCTCACCCCGATTTTTCTTCTCCTTCTAACCTGATCTAGATTCCCAGCTGAGAGCCCGTGGCCTGATCTGCTCAGTTCTAATGCAGCACAGGAGTGAGTTCAGAATATCCCTGTGCCAGCCTTGCCGGGACTGCAGAGCCCCAAATTGTTCTCCTCCAGAGGTAACCCTGTGATCAGCTCTAGCACCACTTGCCAGCCCTTCCATCAGCCTGATGGAGAAGCAGCTCTACCTCCTGTCAAGCAGTAATCTACAAAGTTTAATTTTGTTTACATCTTCAAAGTCAAAGAGGGTACAATGCTATCTCTTTTGGCCTAAAGAAAAAAGGAAAAGTGCTTGCTTTAAGTGTTAGTTTTCTGCTTTTGTTCCTGCCCCAACCCCCATTCTCTTGGTTTCTCTAGATATGTAAAGGCTCACATGGGACTGTGGTCTTTCTACATTATCGCAAAGTTTTTATTCTTGTCCTCAAAACAGGTGCCCACTCTGCTCAGTTTTTACATTGAATGGTTAGCAAAGCAAAACATTCCAATTCCCAACCTAAGAAAGAATGAAGCTCTAAACTAAGTTTATTGACGTTCCCAAACTGACATTATTCAATGATCAGAATAAAATACATACATAAAATCCTGGCAATTTGCATACCCCAATCTTCCACACACATACAAAAAACTAACTATTTTAACCTGTGGCATGTATTTGTCTTAGTTTTATTAAAAGCATATATTCAAGGTCTTTATCCCTGAAGGTACATGAAGGTTGTGCATTTAATCTTTAGCATGGTTGTAGGAGATATGATTCACAGAGTAGAGAATAGATAAAAATAAGCATATAGCAGCATGGTGCCGAATCATCAGAACTCAACATCTTATCAACAAATAGAAGTCATTCTTCTTTATTTCTTCAGCAAAGAAGTTTCATGTAAGATAAATAGCTTTCAGTCAGTATAGCCTAGTATGCAATATGCATCTTTTTGACATGTATATTCTAATAGTACTTTTGACCATAAGATTAAAATAAGAAAAATCCCTGTGCTGTGTGTTTACAACAAACACTAGTTGAATCTGCATTTTTTCCATTTTTCATCTCCCAGAATTGGGCTCAGTGTATGTATGTTTGTACATTACTGGCTATTATTAAATGATCAACTTCTAGTGACCTTCAAGTACCATTTTCCAAAGTTTTACAAGGGAAATAATTTGGAGGATTTGTACTTTTTTTATAGCAAACATTGCATTTCACATCATGCTTTGGAGATATTGTGCTTTGTTTTCAGAGATCAGGGTATAGCAGTATGTGTTTCTAATATCTGGATTTAGTAGATGGGTTCTAGATACATGACCTTGAGAAAGACACCTACTTTAGTTTTACTTCCTTCACGTTACAAAGGAAGAATTTGGGTAAGATAAATCATTATATGTTTTTTGTTGTTAACAGAGAAAGTAGATGGGTGATAAGGGAGTTGGAATGAAAAATTGGAAGTGGACACTGCAAGTGGACCAAGCATTTGGTACTGGGCTGACCTTCCCTCTGTGGGTCCTCCCTGAAAACTGCTCTACAGCTGAAAGCCAGCTTATTGGGGCTCTACTCTCTCTGTTAACAATAAAAAACATATAATCTTGTTGCAGTGCAACCACAGCAGCTCCCACCTTTCAGCGAGTCAGGCTTTTATAAGGTTTCCATTCTCATTTAAATACTAGCTTCCACTTTTTGAGGTAGAAAACCGAACTTAAGCTGCTGAAAAAATTGGAAAGTAGTAGTAATTTTAAGTTTTTAAACATTCGTTGTTGTTTTCATATTTATCAATTTGCCTATGTGGAAGGAAAAATGTGGGTTTTTATAGCATACTGCCTTTGATTGAAACCCTAGCTCTGCTACTTATCTAGCTGTCCAGCCTCTTTGAAGTTCATCTCTAAAATGTTTTCTTATCTGCAAAATTGGCAAAATACCGACATGGATGGTATTGTAGAAGAAAAGCAATTTTGTGCAAGTGTCCAAAAAATACTGTCTTCTCCTTCCCTCTACTTCAATGTCAAATTAGTTTGAAGAGTATTGACAATGATACTGAACATTATCAATTACAAAAAATCTACAGAACCTGTTTCTTAGCCTAACATTGCTTACAGAGGAGACATATTTTAAAATGACAAGATGTGACAAAAAACTGCCTCATTTACATGAAAGATACGCTACATCAATTTAAGCTGGTCAGTTCTGTTTGGGCTTGGACTGCTGAGTACACTGGCTACTTAAGTTTGATCTTTGTCTGCCCCTGTGACCCTATCCCCTCTCTTTGTATCTCCTAGCTTCCACAACTTCAAAGAATGCACATAAGCACATAGGCCTAAGGGTGAAATCAATTCTGCAGGTTTCAAATTAGTCATACACATGAAAGCTTTTTGAAAAGGATGAAGATCTATGCAAACTCAAGACAGCAAGTAAAAAAAAAAGTAAAGGTACAATTTCTTAAAAAAGTGAATTCCTTCTAGATAACAGGCCAGTATCTATAAATATGTGCTCTGCAAATCTGCCCATTTGGGGGATATAAGAGAGAGGATGCAAGGAAGCCCACGAAGGGACAGCCAGGAGGCCTGCGCCCTAAGTGCACCTTTCCTCCCTACTCTGGACTGTTATTTGTAGTGTTAGAAAGTATAGCATCGCATCACAAACACTGGTCCTAGCTTTCTAATTTGCTAGGTAGGTGAGCTTGGACAAGTTACTTATCTTCTCAATTTCTCATTATAAAATGGGGGCAGTACAATCTTACAGAGTTATGGAGAACATTGCAGAAGGCAATAAATGTGAAGAACCTGGCTCAAAATTGTACTCAGAACATGTTAAAAAAGTAGTTAATGCTTATTATTATTATTACTTTTGCAAGAGAAGATTGTATTAGATGATCTAAGTTATTCTTCATCTTTAAAATTAGGTACTTCTTTCCTTTTTTCTAACAAAATATTCCTTGCAGAGCTTGGCATGTTCTGAACTCAGGGTTCTGGGAGCCTGACCAGATTTAGTAAGAAGAGTGTTCAGACTGAGCAATTGTAAAAGCAAAAGCTAACCTATCTCTACAAACCCAGTCGGCATAGCCAGTATTCTGGCACAAGTAAGTCTGCATATATTCCTCCATCTCCAGTTTATACTCACAAACAGCCAGAGCCATCTCAGATAATAGCATGGAGTGCTGAATATTTTTGCAAGCTATTTTAACATTTTGAAAGAACAGTATAAACACATACAAGATGCGACTATATGGTAATAAAATGAATCTTCTTGTGTGGCATGAAGGTTCGTTAGTTTGGAGCCAAGCTCTGGGCTGTTCTACAGGAGCCGCTTATGACATTTCTCACTAATGGCGCATGCTGCCACTGAATGTTTGCCTCTATCTGCTCCAGTCTTTGGCAATGCAGACATGCACTTGCATGTAAATTAATAACTGCAGAATCTAAATGAGGGACCCAAAAAAGACCTTTCATTTTCTGAGTCCAAAAGGGAAAAAAAAAGACCTCTTTCTAATTATATATTTGATCAGAGTTGTTGTTTACAAATGTATAAGAATACACTTATTTTATGGGAAAGAATGCTTTATATGATTCTCGGCAAATTAAATTGGGACTTTGTTTTTAATGATTTCACTATTTACATTAAACTGTTATTATCAGCTAGGGAGAAAAATAGGTGTGCACACTTACTTTCTTCATCAAGGAGATTTTCAGCAGCTGATAGTAACCTCTTCCTGTCTTCTGGGTTTTTAATGTTTAATTCAATGAGATGACTCTCTTTTATATCCTTTAAATCTTCTAGGGTCTCATAACCATTGAGCAAAAGTGTTGATGAGTATTCCTGTGTGGGAGAAAAAATTATGTATAATATGAGCTAGTTGGATTTAAATACTTTTAATTCTCTGTAGATTTATAGAAAGTGTAGAAATGCTTATGGAAGCCAATAAAACTTTTGCTTAACTTTATTTTACTTGTACTAGTTTTCCACATATAAACTCTAGGGCATTTAAAAGAGTTGGAGGTATAATTGTGACATTCTGGAAGGACAAACATAGAGAAGAAATAATTACCTTAAGCTATACAATGCTAGATAATAGATCAATTAAATTCATCCTATTTGGCACTTTTTCATTTCTCAAATTACTAAATTGACAAAACTAGAGTGCCTTAAGTTTATAAACAAAGTGCTTTTTTTAAAAAAATATATTGTATTGATTTTTTACAGAGAGGAAGGGAGAGGGATAGAGAGTTAGAAACATCGATGAGAGAGAAACATTGATCAGCTGCCTCCTGCACACCCCCTTACTGGGGATGTGCCCGCAACCAAGGTACATGCCCTTGACCGGAATCGAACCTGGGACCCTTCAGACCGCAGGCTGATGCTCTATCCACTGAGCCAAACCGGTTAGGGCAACAAAGTGCTTTTAATAGAGTATATTATAGTAATATTTTTGAATCTACATCTCTTATTTGCTTGATTGCAAAAACAGCTACCCTCATTAATTTCTTGGGGCAGGGTAAAAAATAAATTTGAAATAGATGCAATTTAAAAGTGGACTTAGGCCCTAGCTGGTTAGAGTGTCAGCCTGACAACTGAAGGGTCCCAGGTTCTGTTCTGGTGGGTGGGGGGGCGTGAGGCCCAAGTTGCAGGCTTGATCCCCAGTGGAGGGTGTACAGGAAACAGCTGATTCTCTCTCATCATTGATGTTTCTGCCTCTCTCTTCCTTTCCCTTCCTCTCTGAAATCAATCAATATATATATATATATATATATATATATATATATATATATATATTTAGGATTTTGGTTATAAACCAAAGGAATCCAAGGCTTTCTATTTAATTAAAAGTTTTATTAAGCTTTACAAAAGTACTGTGGTTGGAAAAAGTATTGTTTCCTTTTCTCAGCACATATATCTTGTCCATCATTTGTATCAAGATATACTAGTTTAAAATTCCTGGGCTTTTGATTTCAAAGTCTGTATTTTATTTATGTAACCTCTGTTCTAACAGCATAAAAATTCAAAGTGAAGTTTAATGCTTTTCAACTTTCTCAAAAATTCCTCCCATTTTATTTGGTTATTATTTCAATATCCTTATTTAGTTATTAAAATTGAATAAGAGGAATTATAAAAGTTTTAGGTAATCAGAAAGAGCTTATTACTAGCCCTTTAATGTTAAAAAAAAACCCCACAAACAAACAAACAAACAAAAAACAGTAGCAATTCTTTTAAAAATATCCTAGAAGGAACACTGAATTAGGACAGAGAAAATGGAAATTCCCATTCTGATATAGCCATCTAACTGAGGTTTCATGACTAAGTTATTTCACTTCCTTAGATCTTGGTTTTCTCATAGGTCATGATAAAAACAAATAGGGAAGCAGGATTCAAACTTGTACTTCTTCCAAGGAGCACCCAATTTGGGGCACCAGTAGTAATGTAGGAAGACCTAGGCAGTGTGTCTACAGACAAGATTGTAACTAGATAATTCAGGACAAACAATTAAGGAAAGTTCAATTAGCTATTGCCTTAATGAATTTCAAAAAGTATCAAAGTACTACCATGTTAACTTTTAAAATGGATTGCAAAACAGTAAATTGAGTGAGGCTAGGTATATTGTATATACACACTATTTAACACTGTAGATATTTTGTTAATATATGAGAAAATAATTTTATTATAAATATAGGCAACACGGTTTTCTTTTTTTTTAAACTCAATTATTATGCAGGCTTAAGATCACTATTTCCTAACAAATTAGTTTTAAAAGAGTTATATTTACTTATTTTCCTTTGACTTGCTTTTGATCTCTGCTCTAAAGAAAATACAATTTTCATTTTTTTCTTTCAAGTTTCTGGTACCATTGTAATTAGCTAGTTGCTAATATTAGGAAAGAAGCATAAGGGAGACCAGACATTATAGGCCTGTTAATTGGGCAGCTTCACTAGGAAGCTGCAACTTCACACTCCCCAGGGAACCACTGGCCCATTTCCTTGCAGCTTATTGGGGGATGGAATTAGACAAAGCAGAAGATGAGTGCATCCTCAGTGAATTGGGGTGTCACAGGGAAAGCGGCTGTCAGTCAAGCCTGGGGAACCATGAATTGACTAGAGTAGGGCAGGGCCATTGCAAACCTGCAAAAATTTGGGACTATACAATCCCCTAAACAAAAGGAGTTCATGTTCTCTCTCGGCCCTTTTGTTCCTGCTTCCTTGCATTAACCTGTGTTTCCTACATAGCCAGTGGCCATGTGGACCCCACATGTAAGGGACTGATGACCTGTATCTGGGAGCACAAACTAAGCCAGCCTGGTGCTGAATTAGACTGTGTCTCAACCTAGAATGGAAACTTGGGATACTGGCTTTGATTTTAGCGCTGCTAAAAGCAAAATGGACTTCTTCTGAGGAGGCTAAAAGGCTAATTCCAATGCAACCCTGATATTTGGGGGCGCGGGGGGGGGGGAGGGCTAGCAATCTGAATCCATGCCAGCAAGCTCAGTGTACATTCTTGATAACCTATAATTAAGTCACTGCCTCTTTCCCAGAAACTGGTCTTGCAGAACCTGTTACAGAGGCCATAAAACTGTGAACAGTGCACTGCCCTGGAGGGAGGGTTATTAATGCTGGCGCCAGGCCAAACCATCAAATATGGCCTGGAGACCCCCAATACCTGGGGGCCTTCTTGCAAGGCCCGTGAAAAGGATCAGAAGCATAATCCATATTTGCGGGGAAAAGACCCCAGGAAGATATAAAAGAGAAGCCCCTGGGTGTTACTTTCCTCAGATTTGGAAAGTTATTCCCTGAGTCCGCCGGCATAAATAAACAGTGTCGCTCCTTTCCTCTAAAGTGTCGCTTGGTTTTTCTCTAGTCTTCTGCAACATTTCTTTGGAAGGACAAAGCAAAATGGGACCTTGGAAACTCAGGGGTTTAATTGATCAGAAATAAAGCTTTCTACAATACCACGTCCTCCCCTGCAGGTCTCAGAAAATTCTTTTTCTGGGGCTATCACAAGAAACCCATTCCCACTAGCAACCTGTAGAGATGTGGAGATCTTTACATTGATAACATCTGGATTTTTATTTTCACTCTTCATATTTTCTTTATGATTCTTCTTTACATGTTTCCTCTGGGTCATTTATTCTCCTAGGTATTTTTTATTTTTATTTTTCACTACCCTTTCTCAACATTAATCTCTACAGTCATTGCTGAGTACCAATAGAGTTTAGTCCAAAGGATATTATATCAAGAACTATTCTAGCATAATAAAAGTGATAAAGGAGAAATAAGAACTGTTCTTGAAAAACAGATTTTCCTTTGCTGTAAGTCATATATTTTTTAACAATTCTGTTCAAACACTGATCTAGTCTCTTTAATTTTTCTGTCCATATGCCACAAAAATCCAATAGGCCACATGTTTGCTAACCTGAAGGTGAATCCTCTCTAAGAATTCCTGCAGGGTCTTGGATTTTTCTCTTCCACTGCTTCGGCGTGTCTTTATTTTCCTGGGGGCTGATTCCTCTTCTGAGATGACATCCACATAAATAAATTTGAAGTTTCCCACCTTATTGTTTAACATTCCTGTCCACATCCCCATTGGTGTTTTGCAGATGATGTCTATGATGTCACCTTTCTGAGGACAAAGAAATGTGCAAATCAAATTTCAGAGAACTCTGGTGCTGTTGTAGAAAGAATGGAATAATAGAAAATAGAATAATGAGGGCATTATGCTAAGATGATTCAAAGATAACAAATAAGTATAAGAGGAAATTTCTTTTAAAAGTTTGAGGAAGCCCAACTGGTGTGGCTCAGTGGTTGAGCATCGACCTATGGACCAGGAGGTCATGGTCAGATTCACAGTCAGGGCACATCCTCAGGGTTTGGGTTTGATCCCCAGGGTGGGGCATGCAGGAGGCAGCTGATCAATGTTTCTCTCTCATATTTAATGTTTATATCTCTTTTCCCCTCTCCTTTCCTCTCTGAAATTAATAAAATATATCTTTTTTAAAAAAGTTTAAGGAAACTATTTACTAGTGACAACAAAGAAAACAACATGTTGAAGAAAATATCCTACATGCATTTGATAACATGTTTTTGTGTTTGGTATCATATCAATTTGTCAACTTTTATTTGTAGAGCACAATGTAATTTGCAAAACATTTTTGCACAAATGAAGTCATTTTATGCCCACAACACACCTCTTAGGTACATATACAAAGTGTCATTGTTTCTATAAATATTACAGAAAAATAAACACAAACATTAAATAACTTCCCAAGAGCTTATAGGAATTTAATGGCAGAACCAGAACTCAAGACTAAGTTGTCTGAACTAAAAAATGATGATCTTTTCACTCATCCTGTCAAAGCACTATGTATGTAGCAAAACTCAAGCTGCTATTCCTGGAGGGGCTCCCATATTAGGGAAAGGAAGAAAGAGAAATCTGTGATTCAGTTTGTGCCTCTAGTAACTGAAATACTCATCCACAGTACAAAATAAACACACCTAAATTATGGCATTCATATAACATAATGAAAGTGTTCAGAACTTTGTACATACCAAATACATAATAAAAGTATGTATGCACTAAGGATAAATTGTTACTTAATTATTCTAGAGATGATAATTCTTAGATCAAGCTCCCCAGCAAAGTTTGGGTTGAAGTATCAATGAAGCACATTGGGATAGACAAAGAAATTGGTCTTTTTCTTTATTCGCATATGATACTATCTGGTTACATGCTGCCAGTTATTGGAAGAGCAAAAAACCCCACAGGGGTAATTATTTGTAAAGAAAATGGATATCGATGCAAATACAGTGCCTACATTTAAGAGAATAGTTACTCCCTTGAGACATAACTTTCTTTCCCAAAGAAGACATTATAGTTTCTGATAGTTTTGCCATATTAGGGGTCTACCCCTAAATAAACAAAGCATTTAGTCGGCTACTAAGAATATTTTTTTCCTGCTGCTCTGTGAATGTATATTTTAACATCTAAAACACAGATTTTATTTGTGAAGTAGAATTCAATATGATTAAAAGATCTGGGCTTTCTGATTTGTAACTGTCTGCCTCTCTGACCCTATGAGCTTTCATCTAGCTCTTTCCTGCCTTTCACTATAAGGGCATCAAATCTTAGGCTCCTTGGATCAGCTTAACCAGTCCTAAAAAATCCCCAGAAGCTCTGAAGGGAGTTTCTAAGCATGGCAGCCCTCTGCCGCATACTTCCTAGTATCTTAAAAACTTGTAAAAATTGTACATTCCAGGAAAGGTCACCAAGCAAAGACTCAATGTCATTTTGGATAAGACCCTTTTGGAAACATTAGTGTTCAATTTGCAGTGGTAACTGGGATTCTTATTGTGTCTTACAAGTTTTCTGCAAGCATCACCTTGGGCAGCACCGAGGTAGTGAACTGTCACAATACTGTAGGGATGGTGAACAGCTATCCTGAATCAAAATGTGTTCAGTTTATTCCCTTCTACTCCCCTCCATTCCCCAAAACAGGAACTAAGAAATGACTAAGGGGCCAATTGAAGAGAATAATGCTTTCTTCCTCCTCCAACTGAGCTTGCTCAGGTTTGATACCACAGGGTGGACAAAGAGAAGAGTTGCGTGCCTTGAATGTTAAATGATAATATCAGTACTTCATAACTTATAAATATTGGTTAACATTGGCTTGGTGCTGACAATATAAAAATTCATAAATTCTGTCCTTTTAGCTATATAGCGCTTTGTGTTACTAAAAGGAATAATTTGACATCTATAAAATATTTTAGCACTAAACCTTCTTCTATTTGTGCTGTTGCAACCAGCTCCTCCCCTTAAGTATAAGCAGGATAATGAAAATGATGGATTTCTCCCCTGTGATTATGTTGTGTTACATGACAGAAGGGACTATACAGATGTAATCAATGTCCCAGACTAGTTAATTTTGTAATTATCTGGGCGTTTCTGACTTAATCTGGTAGAAGCTCTTAAAAATAGAGATATTTGAAGCATGATGAGTGTTTCTCCTGCAGAACTTGTTACAGAGAGGGCCGCGGCCGGCCGCCTCCAGGAGCTAAGGATGACCCAGGGTGCTTTCCAGGAAGAGAGCATGAGACTCACTCCTACAACCACAAGTAACTGAATTCTGCCCACAGCCAGTGAGCTTGGAAGAGGGCCTGAGCTTAGGCGAGATCACATTTCCAGCTGGCACCTGATTTCAGCCCAGTGAGACCTTCAGCTGATGAACCATGCCCAAATTATGACCTTCAGAACTATGAGAAAATAATACATCTATGTTGTTTGAGGTCCCAAAGTTTGTGGTAATCTGTTACACAGTAATAGAAAATGAATACAGAGGATAAGAGTAAGAAGAGGGAATTCAGGAGAGAATATCATTGGTAGGAAGATGTTTGGTTACTCAGAGTAACCAATTTAAGTACTGAAGTTGCCCCAGACAAGTCTGGTTCCCAAGGCCTTTGCTCTGCTGGACTCTTGCCTAATATCTCCACCTTTTCTCCCTCTCCTTTGCTTTATTATTTTCACTTCAGGAATGATCAGGCAGAGCTGGGCACCTGCTTTCAGGAAAATGTACACAATCCCTTCTTCTCTGATAGGCTTTGATTATGCATTATCTACATAACAGCAGCTTATGCTAATAGCCCCAAGGACTGATCCCAACTCTGCCTGGCATGTTATGTTTAAACTCTTGCCACAGCAATCTGGTCTCCAGTTCTACTGTTGGGAAGAACAGACTCACATCCCCTCCCCCCAGTTCTCACTGCTTGCCCTTGAGAAACAGATCACACAACCAGGACTGGACACACCATACAGAATGCAGATGTGTGTGCACACACCTTTATTTTGAGGGAGTCAGTGTCATAGGGGCTTGGCGTGAAGTCGGTATGCACTCTGGCACGGCCACAGAATGTTCCAGAGTAGGGGCCCTCATCATCGAGTCGAAAGCTGTCCCGGTTACTTGTGCCATCTGAACAGCTTGTGATTCCACCTGAAGAAGGCAAAGAAGAGGTTAGCAGTTCTCATAGAAAGTTCATAACATTCTGAACCATCACCTGGAACAACTAAGCAGGGACAATGCTGAAACATCGGATGCCATCCTCCCTCGGAGGCTCCAAGGACCCATCCTGTTTCTGCCTCCCAGTCCCTCTCCATCAGCGACCTCTGTCCTCTGAGCCACTTTGGACCTTTCTCCAGCCAATCCGAGCACTCTTTCCTCAACCACTAACCCAAATATCATCTGACTTTGGACAGTGTTTTGAGTATGGGTACTTGTTAAAGAAGCAGATAGTGTAAACTTAACTCCCTGGACAAGCCAAATAATTAAGTTTGTACATATGGCTTTCAAAAATGTTATAAGCTGGACTTTTTAAAGCTGCTCTAAATCCTTGCTCTTTGGTCTTCTTCCTTTATGACTTTGGGGATTAAGAGGAAAGTGATTCTATTTTGATGTGTGTCTGGGGGCAAGGATTCTTTCCAGTGGAAGTTACTCTTAGTGTCCCCCTCTCAGTGTCACTTCACTTTCTCCTTCAGTGGGCCTTTGGGTGCTCAGTTTCTCAACCATGAATAACAATAATTGTGGAAACAAGGTCAAGATCCTTAGGGATGCTCCATATTGTATATGAACTGGTGTAAAAGAAGGGTAGTTTCTTCTAATTACAGAAGTAAATTGTACGTAACAGCTAAGTGAGCCACCATCTCCTCACACCTCCCTTCCATGACCACCCTGGGCCCTGGTTTTTCATGGTACATTCTAGTTAATAAAATTCTTCCCACATTCAGCATCACACTTCAGAATTTTAAAATTGCCAGCAGAAATGAATACTAATGATATCTGAGTTTCACACATGCAAAAATATAGCCTTCAAATGTTTCTGAAGTTGCTTTTTAAACAAAATAACTGTTTAACAGCCAATAGGAAAATAGGAATAAAATTCAGGATATTTGAAACATCTGGTCTTTGCTATCTAAATTCAAATAACAGAAGCAGCTGATTTAAAAGGAAATGAAAAATAAACTGCAAAAACACTTAAAAGCCCTTACAAGATTAGAGGGATGTATAACAGTGTAAAGTGCCCTGCATAACAGCAGTTTCCAAATATTGTAGCAGGATATGTGGCTGAATCCCGAGTGATTGATCTTCTTAGGAATATATCAATGTTTTGAGAAAATCCTTTTTGATCATGTGCTGATTTCTTTTTGTCACCCAATTGGTGATATTCCTACTTTTTAATATTTCCATATTACTTTACTCTTTACCCACTAATGCTGGAGGGGAACTTAAATGTCAGAATTGACGTAAATGTCCTGCTTTATCCAGAATTTTTTAAGGAAAATAATGGAAAGGAAGGAAAAAATGAGAGAAGACAGGAGAAGAGAGGAGGGGCAAGTAGGAAGGGACATGGGAGAGAAGAAAAAAAAAGAAAGAGAGAGAGGAGAGAGAGAGAGAGAGAGAGAGAGAGAGAGAGAGAGAGAGAGAGGAAAGCAGCAAGGGAGGAGGAAAGAAGGAAAGAAGAGACAGAGAAGAGGATTTTATTTATCTGAAAAGTGTAAGTCATTTTTAAAAATACTGACTCAATATAACACTAGTTCTCCCCAGCATATGTTTTTATTTTAGGGATGCAGATTTAATTACCCAACATGATCTTCTGAGGCATATCCCCAAGGACACTTCTGACAACAGTGTCAAAAGGTTCAAAATAGTACATAATTCTATCTAATATATTAAGTAACATTTTAAACAATAGCAATGCTTTAAATTCAACACACCATACATTTCTTACTCTTCATCTTATCAAGTGGCTGGAGCCTTGTTGCTAATTTGAGAAACCAGTCCCAGAGAAGCAAGTCTGTTGTTTCTAGTTAACTTAACCCAGCCCTCCCATCAGGAACTTGTTCCTGTTTTGTAGCCTTACTTGATGAGCTCCACCCACTGTAGAGACTATCCATGGAATCGCTGGCTTTGAGGGAGAGCTTCTCTGTGTGAATCCCAATAACGGGGTCACTGTTCCGACACGGGAGGGCACCCTCTCCATCGTCCTCATCCTCCAGAAAAACATATCAGAGGTTAGGGTAGATCATTGCTTTCCCTGGAGATGCTCTCTGTGCACATTGGTTTAACAAACAAGATATAGTTTAGCAATAAAGGACTTAGGAATACATCAATGTGAAATATGAGTGTCATTAATCTTAATTTCACTTCTTGCAAAGAAATGTATAGTATTCTTTAGATAGAACATTCCTCATTATGGAATTCAACTAAAATTATAATAGTGCAATTTGTAAATCAGGATGAATATTGTATCAAGATTATGTAACCAGAAATGTTAGATTATTGACATCTATGCTCTTTCTGTTAAAGACTTTTATTTCTTTATGTATGTGCTCTTTATCCCCTATTTACCACTATTACTAATCCTTTGAGATCTGACATTAAAAGTTTAAACTCTGCATAGTTATTTCATGTCAGTTATTTGTACCCCATGAGATCACTAGATATGAATAAAACATGCACACTTCACAATTTTAAAGCAAAGCTTTACAAATCTCATACCATGCTTGCCACCTAGTCAAGTGAAAAGCAAATCTTGCATAAATTTAGAACGACAGACAATTTCAGAATAAATTACATCTGCTTGAAAACATCTCAAATGTTTTCCATATTTAGATAGTTCGGACAAAACCTATAAATTTCTTAATATTCATCAATTGTAATTTAATAATCCTAATTTTTGAGCATTTCTAAACATTAATAAAACTTCAGAATATACATTTGATTTACACTCAGTTTGATTCTCTGTTTTTATCCATTCATTTATCCTTCTGTCCAGTCATTCAACCCACATTTATAGAACAGTTTCTAAGTACCTGGCACTGTTTGGGGAACTAGGGATACAGTGTGAACAAGGTAACAGGATTATTGCTCTAATGAGGTACATTTTAGTGTCAGACAGTGTGTGTGTGTGTGTGTGTGTGTGTACTGTTTGGGGGAGTCACGTGTAAACATAATAGGCAAGAAAAAATCAGAGAATAAGTGCTATAAAGGACATAAAACTGGATGATGCCAGGAGATTAGCTACTGGGTTTAGGGTTGGGGGAAGTTCAGTTAATTTGGAAGGAGTAGCCTCCAGAGACTCCTTCATAAGGTAATATATGCTCTGCATTGTTGACCTGCATGATGAGAAGCTATAACTTATGTGAATATTTGAAGACAGTTTTTCAAGCAAAAGGAACAGTGAGATCCAAATAAATATACTCAGAATTAACTTGAGTTATGCAGGGGGAAACAACAAGAAAGGAGAGTGTGAGAATATGATCTAAGAGAAGTAGACTGGAGGCAGAGCACCAAGAACCTTATAGACCACATGAGGGGGCCATGGAAATGTGCCACTCAGTCCTCTTGCTGAGGTGCCCTTCTTTACTGGCAGCCCCAGCTGTTGCCCCTCTGTCCCACCACTGTGTTTGCTTGGGACCTAGCTCCCTACCAACGACTGAAACAGTGGGATGAGTTGAGTACTGGTTGAGTCCATTCTGGTGGGATGTGAGGGCTCCTCTAACGGAAATCTATAGCTCAAGGAAAGAAAGCAGAGCTAATAAGGGAAGTTATGAAAAATAAGGAAATCCAGAAGAATGCCTAAAAAAACAACAAGGAAAGAGAATCTTTCATATGTAATGGAATCATCACAAAGTGAAATGCATCTGAAAAGTAATGTAAGAAGAAAGAAAATTGACCTTGGCAGCACAGAGGTCAACACTGATTGTGACAACTGTCTTGGAAGTCCTATTGAAGTGGGCTCAACAGAGAGTGGACATTAAACATATAGATTAATGGAACAGAATTGGGAGTCCAGAAATAAACCCATATATTTAGGATCAATTGGTTTTCAACAAGAGTGTCAAGAAAATAAGTAAAATGGGGAAAAGTTGTCTTTTTAACGAAGTGTTGGGACAACTGGATATACACATTCCAAAAAATGAAGTTAGATTCCTACCACACACCACGTAGAAACATTAATGAATTATACACCAAAATTTAACAGCTACAACTAAACAACTCCTAGAAGGAAACATAGGAGTAAGTCTTTTGAAATTTAAACAATGGTTTCTGAGATACAATGCTAAAAGCACAAGTGATGAGAGAAAAAGAACAGATACATTGCACTACATCAAAACTGTAAACACGTGTGCTGCAAATTATACCATCAAGAAAGCAGAAATAAAATCCACAGAATGCAAGAAAATGCATGAGATTGCAAATAAGATATCGGATAAAGGACTTGTATCCAAAATATATCTTAAAATGTGTAAAAGTCAATTAAAAAGACAAGCCCAATAAAAAGTGGGCAAAAGATTTGAATGAACCTTTTTCCAAACACAATATATAAATGGCTAATAAGCACATGAAATGATTTTTAATATTATTAGTCTTCAAGGAGGTGCAAATTAAAACCACATTGATATTCTACTTCACATCCATTGGGATGGGTAGTATAGAAAAGACAGACAATGACAAGTGTTGGAAAGCATGTGAAGAAATTGGAAACCTTATACACTGCTAGTGGGACTGTAAAATGATGCAATTGCTTTGGGAAATAGTTTTCCAGTTTCTCAAAATATCAGAGTTGCCTAAGATAATGAAAAAAAATATTTCCATGCAGAAATTAGCAAAAATCCTATATAATAAAGAGCTAATATGCAAATGGTCATCACGCCCTCATGCCATCACACCGTAATAGCTCAGACACTCAACACTGGGGAGAGAGGTAAGGGGAGCAACCAGGCACAAATGAGCTCATGAGGGAGGAATGGGGACCAGCCAGGCTGCAACCTGGGAGAGGGACAAGCTGCCCACCCCATGGTCCCTGGTGTCAGTGGCTGCACCTGCACCTGTGGCCCCGGGAGAGGGACAAGCCACACACCCCGTGGTCCCAGGTGCCAGCAGCTGGGGCTGCGCCTGCCGCCTGGGAGAGGGACAAGCTGCCCGCCCCACAGTACAGGGTGCCAGCAGTTGTAGCTACGGCCCAGGAGAGGGACAAGCCACCCACCCTGCAGTCCAGGGCACCTGCAGCTGTGGTCTGGATGAAGCCACCTGCCCATGGTCCCCTGTAGCTGCAGCTGGCCCGGGTGAAGCTGGCCCAGGTCCTGGGTGCCTGCAGCCAGCCAGAGGGAGGGAAGCCAGAGTCCTGGGTGTGGGGTGAGGCAGAAGCAGTTAGGGGCGATCAGGTCAGTAGGGGAGCAGTTAGGGATGATCAGGCTTATAGGGGAGCAATTAGGGGCCATCAGGCAGGCAGGCAGAGGTGGTTAGAGGCGATCAAGCAGGCAGGCAGAGGGGTTAGGGGTGATCAGGCAGGCAGGCAGGCAGGCAAGCAGTTAGGAGCCAGTGGTCCCGGATTGTGATAGGCAGTCAAACATCCCCTCAGGGGTCCCAGATTGGAGAGGGTGCAGGCCGGGCTGAGGGACCCCAGCCCATGCATAAACTTCATGCACCAGCCTGTAGTATATTTATACATTATATTTAATAGCCAAAAAGTGAAAACAACCCAAATGTCCATCAACTGATGAAAAGATAATTTGTGACTTATCTATAAAATGGAATATTATTTGTCAATAAAAAGGAATGAAGTACTGTTTTCTATAACATAAATGGCATATGTTTCTCACATACTACACGTGTGGTCTTTTTGAACTTCAGTTTTCTCTATTAAAATAGGAGTAATAATACTTTCTTTAAGCCAGTCAATGAAGGAAAAATACCACATGATCTCACTCATTCATGGATAATAGAAACCATTATAAACTTTTGAACAATAATAGATACAGAGGCAGAGCTGCCTCAAACAGATTGTCAAACTGCAGCGGGAAGGCCGGGGAGGGTTGGGGGGCAGGAGGTAGGGGGGTAAGAGATCAACCAAAGGACTTGTATGCATGCATATAAGCATAACCAATGGACATAAGACACTGGGGGATAGGGGAGGCTAGGGGACTGTCTAGGGCGGGGGGGGGGGGGGGGGAAATGGACACATATGTAATACCCTTTGTAATACTTTAAGCAATAAAATAAAAAAAAATAATAATACTTTCTTCCACCTAACTTATGAGCACAATTATTGAGGAGAAGTAGATGCTGAAGTCCTTCATAAAGCACAAGCATTTCTATATCTAGAAGTACATGCTAAATGTTTTAAGAAAAGTTTAATAGAAAAATACAAGTGATTAACAGAGTACACTTACCTTTTCCTCAGAAAGGGCTTTGATGTACTTTTTACCCACTTTTTTCTTCATTGTCCAGGAAATGCCTCTCATTTTTTTGCCTAAACCTCCTCCATGATTTGGATTTTTATTTTTTTCTCCACTTTCATTTATAGGCTCCCCATCATGCACCTAGTTAGAATTGTTTGCAAAAGACAAGATAATAAGCAATAAAAAGCATTTTTCTGAAATTACTATATAACACAAAATAAGACAATGTGACAGTATAATTAATATATTTTATAATGTAATATACACTTCCAATCGGCTCCCCCAAACCCAATCGGGGGGAGGGCCCGCTGGCCAATCACCTGTGGCCCCTCGCCCCAGTTGGCCCTGCCCTGATCAGGCCCTGATTGGGGCGGGCTGGACGGCCAACCTTCTGCCGTCACCTCCTCCCGACAAGCCTGGCCTCGATCTGCCTATTGGGGCCAGACCAGCTGGACCCCACCCATGCAGGAATTCATGCACTGGGCCTCTAGTGTATCTATAATTACATATGTAAAAATATATTACATTGTAATATTTACAATTATGTAAATGTTGATAGAAAATATAGCTATATACAAGTTTACCTATAAGCACATATATATAATATATAGATGTATAAAAGGGGATATGTATAATATATATGTATAAAAGGGTATATAATATACATACATGCATGTATAGAACTAATAGAGATTTATGAAGTCATAAAAGGTGTCACTTTATTTTCATTTTTTGTCTAGAATATCCACTTTTGAAATTAACATATTTTAAAATATTATAGATAGATGTATATGAGACTCTAGAAAGTATTTTGAGAAATTATATCCAATAAAGGGATCTAATTCTACATAGAAAACAAAGAATACAGATACACTAGTTTGAATGAATAATTAAGAAGTGAATAAAACCTGAAACCTATTGCTTTAAAACAAATGTATCACATGCAGTAACATAGGAAGCTTTTCTTAAGCTACATTTAAAGTGTTCATGATTTGCAAATGCGTATAGAATGGTCACCTCTGAGATATTTCAGTGCCGATGGCAGAAGTGTGAGAGTGTAATTGAGTAGCCATATGCTTTCCTTAACAAATTTACTATTAAGCTATTTAACCATCTCCTAAATTAAAGGAATTAGAACTTAAATAAAATTTAAAATATATATATTTTTTATGGTGGAACTGCTCAGAAAATTTGGGACTGTCTGAGTCACATTAGTGCCTAGCATCATGCTGGGAGTAAAGAACTACCCAAAAAGCCTAACCAGCCATTGGGAAGGCAGAACATGAATTTAAAAAGAGAATTATAACTCAATGTAATAATGTTTGTTTATTTATCACCAAAAACATGGAAGGCTATGTTTAAACATATTTGTGTTTTACTATACTTTACAAAAGTGATGTTGGCTTTATAATATTTGTGTGTTTGCATAATATGCATAAAAACATAATAAATACCTCAGTAGAATCATCTGGTTTTGATACAGAATTATTCCGAAAACGATCAAAGCTCCCGAAGCTGCTGCTGCGCTAGAAAATAGAAAATGAAGGAAAAGGAAAGGAAGTTTAGGATTTGTGACTTTCACTGATAAAAGTGCAAAATATATTATGGTTTGATAAGCATCAGTTATATACTTGAAACCGGTATTATGTTATTACCAATAAATTCAATAAAAAGGAAAAAATTATCTCTGGAATAAGGACATTGAATGTATAACTATTATTATAATTGTAGTTGTACATTTGATCAATTATCTTCATAGGTTTTATGTTATAGTGGTACACATCTTGGAGAAAATCTGTTAATTTTTTATTTTATAGTGTTAATTTTGCTCATATGAATGGTATGCATTACTAACCCACCAAACAACTAATAAACAACAAAAAAGAAAACATCTGAGTAGATACAACATTATGCTTCATGAAGATCATATTAGTCAAAAAGCAAAATGAAAATAAGCACAAATACATTTTCCACTTCTAACTTTTGCTAAGTTTAAATTCGCTACTTGATGTCAGAAAGAGAAAGCATACACATAGACCTATAAATAAATTGAAAACAGCACCTAGTTATGCACAGCCTAAGGTTTGAAATAAACCTGAATTTTCCCACATTTAACATGGAATTACAATGAGACCTTAAGTCAATTTCATTCACTGGCTGTGAGAAAAAACTCAATATATTAATTAAAGACTTGTTCCCTTGGCTACTTTTTGTCCTGTGAAGATAAATGTTTATTCTTACGCAACTCATTCTAGGCAGGTAACTATAAATAGTTTCTGATATTCTCCTAAACATATTTACAAAAATATTTAGTCATTGAGTCAAAAAATTGATATTTCCTCACTCTCTGTTTAATTTTGTACATTGTTTGAGAAGGTAGATATTTAATACTGTGTCCTTAGATATCCACAAATCCTAAGAACATGTTCTGTCTTAAGAACTCCATCTCATTTCAAGCTTATATTCTCAAAATAAGCTGGTGGTACCAAAACATAATCTGGTGACTAGAAAAGTTAATAATGGGAACCAGTAACCTAGAAAACTTTGTCCTTTCAGATGTCACAGCCCACTTTAGTTCAAGTGAGCATCACAGACTTTTAGTCCTTACAAGCACTCTTACACTCATCTCTCCCTAATAGTTATCTTTAAAACTCGTTGTTTCCATTTTAAATGAGCTGAAATAAAAAGATCCTGACATGTGGCAAGGGGTTAGCCCTTTTGCTGACTTGCCACCCCTGCTGAACGAGCCCTTCTGCTTATGGCAGGAGGAGAGGAAAAAAGGGCTGAAACTGAGAACCACACTGGAAAATACAGTCTTCTAATGCAGAGCTTACTAACCTAGAGTGACGTCCGAAAGCATTAATCACTCCCGCGTGCCTAGTAAGTGTTTCCACCAGGCTATCATGGTCCAGAGATCAGAAAAGGGGATTGATGTAATATTGTACAGCTTATAAACTATTTCAACACAGGGAAATCTGTTACTCTTTTATATACTTGGAACATTCGTATGCATTATTGGAGCCTATGCTTAGGGTACATTTGTAGCCTACATCCAGCCAGCATCCTGCCTATTAAATATTAATGAGGGTTACAGCATGGTTTCCACCATGGATAATGGGGTTATGTGGCCCAAGAGGGTACAGAATAGGCTCACTTCAGCATTTCTCTACACTATCTTCTGCCATTAAGTAATCAATAGTCACCACCTTTTAAAATTAATCCCCCCTCATTATATCAATAAAGAGAAGCAGGTTTAGGAGTAGTGGTTTAAGAAAGCTTCAGGACTATTACTTTAGATGTGTCAGTCATCTTATTATGATTCACTCAACAGTTTTAAGTGAGAGGAGTATAATAGCAATCCATGCTAAGATATCCTTAAGAAGCAAATCTATATATTTAAAATGACATTTTTAAAATTTTATTATTCGATAAGTCTGAAAGTTGGTGACTTTCTGAGATGGTTTCCTGATGTATAGGTTATGATTTATAATAAAAAAGGGCTAATATCTACATTGAGTTATGGACAATGCACAAATTATCATTTCCATTCCTGTTAAGTTTCTGATGAAAAGGTGAATCATGTGGAAGCAAGTTGGCTTCATAGATAATAGTCCTTTGTAAATGAGAATGTACTGGAATATTGATAATGGTGCATGGCATAATTGTAATGGATTAGATTTAGAAAATATTATCCTGTGACAGAAGCTCCCATCAAGACAGAACTATCTATATATATAAAAGCCTAAACAACCATTAAGATGGAATGACCAGAATGACTGGAACAACCAGAATGACTGGTCACTATGATACTCACTGACCACCAGAGGTCAGATGCCCAATGCAGGACCTGTCCCCAGCCCGAAAGCTCCAATCACCAATGGGCCCTCCTGGTCTCTCCCCACAGCCGGCAGGCCCCATGGCCTGATTGGGGCTGGGCCCCTGGCCTAGGGTGGGGAACTGGGGGTGGGTGGCAGCAGATTCGGCCTCTTTCCCAGGGGGACTGAGAGACAGCACCCTCCTCGAGGCCTCCTGGGTCCCTCCCCCTCTTCCTCCCCCAGCCAGGAGGTGCCAATCATCCCACTCCCCACCCACCATGGTAGCAGTTGTCCCCTCCCCTTGGCCCCTCCCTCAGGTGAGGCCAACCTTCCAGTCCCTCCCCCTGGAAGGCAGGTCCCAATCAGCTAATCGGGGCTAGGTCCTGGACTGGGATGGGGAACCAGGGGTGGGTGGTGGTGGACACGGGCATTGAGAGAAGGAGCAGGGGGGGAGGCAGGAAAGTGGGGAGGCAGGGAACCGTGTGATGGTGGAACGTGGGCGGCGAGAGAAGGAGGAGGCGGGGAGGTGGAGAGGCGGGGAACCTGATTAGTTTCAATCGCAGGCCAGGCATAGGGACCCCACCCATGCACAAATTTTGTGCACTGGCTACCAACAGAAGAGTTACAAATAGAAATGCAATTTAGATCTTAGATAGTTCTTTGTTTCTGTTGACATAGATCATATTTAGTCTTTAGGTTGACTCTATAAATCTATAGTCTTTTGTTGTCCAATTAAATATGTTTGTAGCCCTGGCCGGTGTGGCTAAGTTGGTGAGGTGTCATCCTGTGCACCAAAAGGTTACAGATTTGATTCCTGGTCAGGTCACATGCTTGGGTTTCAGGCTCAATCTCCATGCAGTAGGCAACTGATCGATGTTCTCCTCTCACATCCATGTTTCTCTCCCTCCCCCTTCCTCTCTCTCTAAAAATCAATCAAAATATTTAAACATGTTTGTAAACTGGCACAATAGCTGTGGAGGGTAATTTCGCAAACTATCAAGATTGCTTTTGTATTTTCCCCTCGACCCAGAACTTCTATTTCTAAACATCTAAACCAGAGATACACTTGTATACAAACTGACTTACACATCCACATTCATTGTAAAACTTTTATATTATCAAAAGCTGTAAAAATCAATGTTCATTGAATGATATATGGTGAAACAAAGGAATTGTGTGCTGCTGTAAGAAATTAAAATATATCTATTTATACTGCTATGGAATGATCTTCAGAATACAGTGTAAGTGAAAAAAAGTCCAGTGAAGAAAATCATATGTACTGTGCTGCAATTTTTCTAAGAGTGGAAATGTATGAGTGTGTTTTAATATGGCAAATATGTATTTTTATTCTTAGAGAAATGGGACAAAATAAACAAAATAAAAGAGGAAAGAAAATAGACTTATTTAAATATACCTTGTTTTGTAAATTTTATTTTAAAATAATGTAACTATTTCACATATTATATTTTATATATTTATAAACAATATGAAATAAAAACCATCCTTAAAAATTCCAGATAAAAACACACACAAATGAGCCTAATTCCATATTTAGGTAGTGCTTAAGAAAGAAGAATTATTTTAAGTGATATTAAAAAACAGTAATTTGACAAAAAAGATGGCAAACTAAATTTTAGCCTGTTGTTAGTAATCACCTTGTTATTCATAATATTGGTTTATAATAAAAGGTTTAGGGACAGTGCAAACAAGTAATGATTTCAATTAAATTTGTAGTCAAGATTCTTAGTCAGAATCCTCACAGTTCTCATCTTGTCACACCATAAATAAAGAAAGCTTTCAAAGCCTACTGGAGCCAAAGCAACACAGTGATCATATTGGAAATGTTTTCATTGGAGTAGACTGTATCAAAAGATGCGGTAATTGTATTACAAATAAGAATAATACCTGAACTCTACCTCAAAATTCATGAGTTCATGATGATATTAAAAAGAGAAAACCCAGTAGTTACCTTTGCAAATGTTACAGTTATATTATTAGAACTGGCAAGTAAAAGTAAAGACAAACATTTAATCTGTCCTTGTATGAAATATATTTCAGAGTAACTACATACATAATGAAAAAAAAATCTGTTTCTCTCTATGTATGTTTATCCCAGCTAATCAATTAAGAATGATGAAATTACAAAATTACTATTTTGTAAACACCTACTGCAATAATGGATCCAGAAAATAATTATCAATGGCTACTAAAATCACAAAAAGAGAGGACTAGAATATATATTTCATAATAGAAGCACCTAATTCCACCAATGAAATATTCTTAAAAAAAATCAATTATACAAACTTTATGTATCTTATTACTAGATTAAATATGGAGACAGAGGAGCATGTTAAATGACATGAAGAGAATACAGTTGGCCATAAAAATCTAGAAAATGAGAAATATACAGGACAAGTAGCCTGGTTATTTAAACTTATCAATAGAAATAAAAGAGAAAAAATAAAGTACATACCAAGAGCCTTTAAGAATGGTTCAAATATAGATCAAATAAATTACTGTAACTAAAAAATTCAAAAAATAACAGGATTTTTTAAAATAAGTAGCTAATTGATGATATTAAGGAAGTATCATTTTTTATTTGTAATTTAAATCCAGTGAAGGGCAGCAGGTATGTGAAATATGTGGGCATAAAGAAGAAAAAATGATTGGTCATTATTTAATGATTAACTGAATGGTGGATATATGGGATA